ATTCTTCTGATACCAGCAACAAACGATACTATGCGGAGAGCTTTCAGCACACTATGAAGCATCAAAAATGATACTAAGCGAGAGAGCTTTTAGCACACTTTGAAGCATCAAAAATGATACTAAGCGAGAGAGCTTTCAGCACACTATGAAGCATCAAAACTTGGTTAAAAAGCATCATAAGCACTATTATACTGGTGTATGCTGCTAAACATACACACACAAAAAATCTTGAAATAAAATCTTGAAACTGTTATAATGTTTTATAAAAGTCATAACTTTAAAAAACTTTAAGTTTCTAAAAATAGCCAAAATTTGATTTCTGTTTCTGATCTATATTTTAATTTCTAAACCATGTACGCATTTCAAAATATTATATTTTAAGGCCGAAATTTACTTAAAAATTACTAAAAAACCTACAAGAAATGACATTAAAAAAAAAAAGTTGTTGTAATACATAATTTACTACAGAATTACTACAGAACTCTGATCAGTTTTATTACTAATTGACATCTAATGTCCCAAAATTAATAAGTTTATTTCTCTTTGACACTGTTGATGATATGTACCCCTACTCTTTATAGCCCCCCCCCCCCCAGATTAAATAAGTTGACTACAGCCATGTAGGCATCATAATCACTCTAATCAATGTATATAATTATTTATATTGAATAAATCTACTTTTTTAGCTTTTAATGTTTGAAAAAGATTTTTTTAACTTACCATTACTGTATAATAACTATATAAACTTCTAAATTTACTGTAAAACCCAAAAAACTTCAAAAATGAATATTAGAATTTTATATCAGGAAAAAAAATAAATATTTATAAATTTTGAAATTTTTAATTGATTGCTGTATGTATATTTTTAATAAAGTTTTTTTAAGTTTAATTTTTAATTGATAACTAGGTTTTAATTGATAACTAGGTTTTTTGCAGCTATATAAAATATATATAAAAACCTCAAAACTGCATTGTTGCAATTTACACCTGTTTCAATTAGCCGTCTCCCCCACGTATCATATATCAAATAATTTTAACAATACCCATTACCATCGTTTATTGTGAACAATCATTTTTAAAACAAAAATTAAATGAAAATTATCTGCATTCTACATGGATGTAGAATGCAGATGAATTTCAATTAATTTTTTCCTAGAATGCAGATATGCATTCTAGGAAAGTCTTTCCCTTGACATTCTATATCACAGGAAAGACTTTCAGGATTAACAATACTGTTGATAGAAAATGCAACCGCCAGAGCAATTAATTATAATGATATAATTGATGAATTTGCAAGCAAAAAGGTTAGGAAATTTGATTTATAATTTCTTTGTATAAATTTTTTTAGAAATAAAACCCAATAAAAATGAGTTCAATAAGATTGTAAAAAAGTTTTTAGGGCCACAAAAAGTTACAGCACATTTCTGGTTCTAGATATGTGTTCCTTCATTTCTTTTGACACAAATCAAGGTTTTCTATGCACAGGTATTAAAATCATTGTGGATTATCTGACATTTAACTACAATGGCTAATAGTTCTTTACACATTATAGGACTGGCTGCTCAAATTCTTGGTGAATCAGTAAAGTTTAAAACCACAGATTTCTTATTTCTAATACCAATGTGTATAATACAAATGGTACATCTCGTATTGCTGTGAGTTATATATTCGTTCCTCACAACCTGTGTGCGTCATAATTTGGCATCATTTTAAATCAAATCATTGGTTTTATTTTTAATAACAACTTACTTAAGAGTGTTATGGTAAATAACTATGCTTTAATTATCAGTTTAGTGTATAATACTTCATGTGTACCGATTAAAAAAATGAGTTTTGGTTAAAAAAAAAGGGTTTGATAATGTTAAAGTAATTTTAGGTGTTTAGTACATTTTACCTTTTAACTAAATTATTTAATTTTTTTATAAATTATATAATTAAACTTATATAAGTTATTAAACATAAAAAAAATTTAATTTAAAAAGATTTTTGTAATTTATTGCCTCCTAATACTTTATAAGGCATGAAATCATTTTTTAATTTTTAAATTCTATTAAAATCTTGAGTTATTGTTATTTTAAATAGAAACCTAGTATAGTTGTAGAAAACATGAAATTAAAGCATGCGTAATGATATGAAGTTTAAAGTATGTGTAAATTTAATCTAGTGTGCTAATATAATTTTAGCACACAAAAAAATTAGAGCAGTTCAAACTATATTATAATACTAGAAAACTACTTTTTTAAAATTGCAACGATAAAAGTTACTTAAGCTTTTTTTGATAACTCAATAAAAAAAAATAGGTTAATGATAATCCTGGTTTATTTCAATGCAATGTGTTGAAGTCATTACAATAAAGTCAATGCAATGAATTCACAAATTACGGCAAAATCTTGCAAAATGAGTAAATGACACTGTTTTAGCACTGTTTCGGAGCCCCTGGATAAGAGGCAACCATTAACTTTACTGTAAAGTGAAACTAAGATGTGTAACAAGTAACATCATAATTAATATGCATCAACAAAATAAATTAAAAGTAGCTTATCGTATACAATAAAACAATTTGAGAAAAAAAAAAAGGTTTTTCAAAATATTTAAGTCCAAAATATTTTAGATGTTACATATAACTCTAACATATATATATAATATATAAATCTATATATTATATATATATATAAATATAAATATATATATATTTATTTAAATATATATATATTTATATATATATAAATATATATATATATATTTATTTAAATATATATATATATATTCATTTAAATATATATATTTATTTAAATATATATATATATATATATATATATATATATATATATATATATATATATATATATATATATATATATATATATATATATATGTATGTATGTATATATATATATATAATATATATGTACATATATATATATATATATATATATATATATATATATATATATATATATATATATATATATATATATATATATATATATGTATGTATGTATACACAGGGTCTATTCTAGAAAAAAAACTTGGGTCGCAGTACTCCTTCGTTTTGGCAGACAGAAAAAAAAGGTCCTCAAATTTTATTTGAGTCAGTGCCCAATTTGGTGCCCAAATACTGTCGACGCTGTCAAAAATGGTCTAGAATAACCCCTGATATATATATATATATATATATATATATATATATATATATATATATATATATATATAATATATATATATAATTATATACAATTTACAATTAAAATTACCTATTTAGTTATTATGGGAGAAATAAGAAAAGAGTCTGGGTTCCCATATTAATATATCAATATTAATAAAACATTGCTTAAAATCACATTAGCTTGGTCATATACTTGACCATAGCACTTTTTTAAATCTGTTCCTTTATCTTTAAGCAATAATATTAATTGATTAGTTAAGCCTACGCCCAAAGGATCCTTTATTTCATAAAAACCCAAAAATGTTTCTTTAATCTCTACGACAAGGTTGAGTTTTTTTAAATTTTTTGTACATATCAAAGAGTTAAACCTATTTGTCTTTTTCAAAAATGGTGAGTTCATTATTATTTTTTTTTCTCAAATTTTAATTCTATCAACTAGTGTCAAAGAATCCTGACGAATTAACTTCAAAATGTTGTGGTAAGATATGTTATAAAATTGGAAGCGATTGGTTTCGATGGGGAAGACATCTAGGCTTAAGCGATTCAGATCTTGATAACATTGGCTCTGATAATACAAAATGTTATGAGAAAGCTGTAAATGTTTTAAAAAAATGGAAACAAGTAAATGGAAATACTTCATGGGAGCAATTAAAAAATGAATTAATATCCTTTGAACGTTCAGATATAGTGGTTGAAATTGAAAAAGATTTTGGAGGTAAGAATTGCAAGCAGTAATAATGTTTTTATTTATTCTTTTTTGTACTAATGTGTTAATTTAATTAATGTAATCATATTTATTTACAAAACATTTATAACATAAAATATCAGGCTTGGACAGGAATGGCATGCGATCGAGGGCTATTAATGACCACGCAAATGACTTTATTTTTTGACAACTTGACCACAATTGTTTATATATTTTGGTGATTAAAACATTTCAGAAATGTGTTGAATGTAAAAATGCTAAGCTAAACTTAAACTAAGAAAAAAGTTTAAAAAAAAAAAAAACTAACAAAAAAAAATCCTATCAAAAAAAGAAATGAAAAAAAATTCCTTACGAAAAAGAAATTATATAAGCACTTAAAAGTAAAAATTAAAAACTTAAACTCTAAGCAAAACTTGTTACATTTTTAATTACATTTGAAATAAATGTTATTAAAACTTATCTTTGTAAACGTTTTATTAAAGTTACGCAAAATGCTTTTGAATTAAGTAACAAATTAGTACTAAAGATTGTTTAATAAATTAACAAATTTTTGTCAAATTTATTAAAAAGTTGCAAAAAAATATTATTAAAAAAAATTATTAAAAAAGTTGTTGTCTTTTTAAAATAGTAATTTTTAATAATTTCATTCTTTAAAAAGTCTAGTTAAAAAAAAGGTTCACGACATTTTTTAAAAACATGAGTGAATAAAAAATAAAATGAGCCTGTGGTTTAAATAAAATAAACTGCCAACAAGCAACTTAATTTAATTTTAATTTGAGCGTCACTTTATTAACGCTTTAAGTAACGAATTTAAAAAATACTATAAAAGATTTAAAATCATTCATTCGTAGATGAATAAAAAAAAAAAAATTTTTTTAAATAAAATGTTTGTTTAAAAGATTTTAAAAAATGTAAGTTTAATCATAAAAATTAATTGTATGAAAATTACAAAATGCTTCAAAACTTTTCCATTAATCAACAAGATATAAGTAAATGAAGTTATATTATATTCTTGTATAATTTACATAAAATGTATAAAAGCTATTAATCACAAAAGGTCTTGAACTTATTTAAAAAATTCTTTCTAAAAATAATGGTTTAAAAGATTTTTCGGAAGATATTGAAAAATAGTTTCAAACATTTAAGTTTATCATAAAAAATACATGCCTACATAAAAAAATATATATATAACATTTTTTTAAATTTACACATTATTACATTAATTTTGTGTAAACAATCATTATGATTATTTTTTATGGCTTTATTTAAAGCCTTTGCAAAAAATAAAAACTTTAGAAAAGATCAACAATTAAAAGTTATTCATAATGTAAGACTTTTTTTTATTGCATTTAAATTGTTAAAACATCAAAATAGCCATGGTCAAGTTGTTAAGAAAAAAAAAATTAGTGTGGTCAGTTACAGAGTATGATCGCACGCCATTCCTGTCCAAGCCTGAAATATGCATAAATATGTCTTAAATTTGTTACAAAGCAAAAATGCAGTTTTCACAATTTTAAAACTTGTTATTAGTTAATACATAAGTTTTTAACTTTTACTCAACAACATAAAAACTTGTAAATTTTTGATTTTTAGATTACTTATGTACCCCAGATAAAAAAAGGTAATAAAATGTTATTAACTTTATGCTGTTTATTTTATGACAATTATGCTTGTATCTGGTCTCATTTGCAGAATGCTTGTCTTTTGTGTGAGAAAATAATCTCACAGGTTTTCTCATAAGAGACGTGTGATCGCACGCCTTATATTGTAAATATAATATTTTGACTTGACCACAACTGTGCATTCAGAAAATGTGCTAAAAAAACTAAAGTATACTTGAACTAAAACTAAAAATAAAGAAACCAAAAACTGAAAAGAGAAATAAAAAGAAATTTAACAAAATTCAAAACTAATCTAAAAAAAAGTAAAAATCTTAATGAATGATAAAATAAAATCAGAAAATAATGTCATAAGTGTTTCATTTCATAGAATTTTGAAAAGATCAAAATTTCAAAGTTATTTAATCTAAGCTTAGTTCTTTTGAAACTTAATTATTTAAAAGTTAAAAACTTTGATATTTTCTAATGTTTTGTAATTTTCTAAACAAATTTTCTAAAAAAAACAAAAGTGTGGCATTGAAAGGGTTTGAACTTATATCCAATATCGAGCTAAGGGCCTCAAATATGTAACATTACATTAGCTTAAATGCTTCACCAATGTTGTGTTATGTGAAAAATTATTAGGTTCAAATTAATAATTATTCAAATTAATAAATTAAAAAAATTATTTGCTTTTAACTATAAATTGAGACACTTAAAATTAAATATATATAATCTAAATTAAAAAATATTTAATACTTTTATGCTTTTATTTTTACTGGTTTATCTTTTTTTTGTTTTGGCACTTATTAAGATTTTGTTTCTCTCTTTCAGTTTATGGTTTGTTTCTGTATTTCACTTCAATTAAGTTTATGGTTAATTTTTATATTTCAGTTCAAGTAAGTTTATGGTTTACTTCTATATTTCACTTAAATTAAGTTGGGTTTTTCAGTGCATTTTCAAAAATCGCAAATTATTAAAGTGCTGTGATCATACAAGGCATGCGACTGTATGCCTTTTATGAGAAGGCCTGTAATATGTATTTTTTATTATCATTATTTTTTATACCAATTGCCTTGGTATTGTTAAATAAAAAAGTTCAAATGTTATCTCATGTCCCTTCAGATATAAGAAAACTTTAGAAAGAGGTTTAAACTGTTTAAAAGTTTAATAAATTGACATTCCAATCGAAATAACAATTGAATACAATACAAAAATTACATATAAATACAAATAAAATGAAATGTTATACTTTTATACTGTTATACTTTTAGCCTATAGCTGCGAATATAGCTTGAAAGTAATATGCATCTGCATTATTCTTTGATGAATCTATTTTTTATCTGTTGATATCTTTTATCTATTAACTGCTTTATTATCTTAAAGGTAAAGAATTTTACAACTTTACTATGTACAAGATTTAAATTGTATCCCATGCAGATGCAATGGGCGATTTTATTTGAGCAAGTAAATTATTCTGCTTACCACCATCAAACACTATATGTGAAAGCTGTTGCCAAGCATTCTCCAGTATTCAGGTCTGGGAATCTAGCTAGCTATTACAAAATTTTAATTACCAAAGTTTTTGAAATAATTATTTACTATCTTAGTATGATTTCTAGCATTATCTAACATACTGAAAAACTAGGTTTTTACAACCAATATCAGATGCTTCATGTCATGAAAATTCTTAAACAATCCAAAGATTATTAACAGATTAAATTTCTGATTAACCATTATATCCAATTGCACAATTAGTAATTACACTACCACCACTAATTAGGCACAATTTTGCTGTACTACTGGTTCTTAACACAAATCCTTAAAAAAATAATTCCACTTAACTGGGCAGTTAAGTTAAAATTCCAAGAAACTGATGTAAAAAGGTTCTGCCTGATGCTAAGCTCCATTAATCTCAGTTTACTAAATCTTGTATTTTATCTCAAAAGTTAGGCTCTATAGAATTTTGGAAGGTCTTTAACAAAGATGACCTGTGTCAGGTCAGGGGTGTAGTCTTCATGATCACCCTGCTACTGGTAACATGCAACCCAGTGCAACCTGTTCCATGTCCTGCTGCCTTTTTGGATTCACTTGTTAAGAAAAGACTGGAAGGAGTTTGCTTCCTGTCATCGATACTTTTTAAAATCAATCATGGCTATAGTAATTTATACATATATATTTTTTGTGTGTCTTTTATACAGTTGGAAATGCCTTAGATACTGTTTTAGCTCACCTGTAATGTACATGTATGTTTGTGTTCTGCCTGAACCTCTGGCGTGGTGTTGGCTACCCATAAGTTGCTATCTGTGTGTTAGTGTTCTGTCAATTTATGTATGTTTGTGTTCTGTCAATTTATGTATGTTTGTGTTTTGTCTGAACCTCTAGCGTGGTAGACTTTATCGGGAAACGGGTGTGATTGCACTCAATTACTGACCACAAAAATAATATTTAGTTGCGACAACTTGGTCACATTTATTAGATGTTTTGTGAATATTTAATGTATTTTTAAAATTTTGTTTTGCTGACATACATGGAAACTTACATTAAGAACATTCAAGTTTATAAATTTGAAAAAACTTTTTTTTACAGACACATGAAAACATACAAAAACTCAGATATTCTCAAAACATCTTGGTGCATAATAAAGAATATTCACAAACACTAAAAACCAAAAAATATGCTGACTATGCGAAATAACATTCTAGACTATTCTGTCGTAAAGATTGTATTTAAGTTTTTAGCGTTGAATGTTATAAAAATATGTTATCAAATGATTATTTTAATTTAATTTATTATTTTAATTATTTAAGTTATTTAAATTTAATTTAATGTTTTAATTTGATTTATTAGAGATACATCTGCAAAGCCGTAAACTTTTTAATCTATCGATTGTTTAAAAAATAGTAGTTTTAAATATATTTTTAAAAATTTTCAAAGTTTTGTAATAGATATTATATATAATAGATTTTAGTTGTATATCATTACTTTTTAATATAAAAAGTATGTTTTTCTTAAGTAAATGTAATTTGGTGTGTGTGTTTTTCATGTTAATGTATTTCTTTTAAAGCAATTTGTACGATTGATTTTGTAAACAAAAAGACTTTAAACAATAACTGCTTTTTCAATGAAATTTTTAATAATTATCAAAGTTAACAAAACTAACTATGAATAAACATACAAGAATAAACTTTTCAAACTACACAAAACCATGAAATAGACATTAAAAATTTTTTTTATTTAATAAACAATTCAACTAGTGTTAGTTTTATTAAAATCTTGTTCTAGACAAAAGTATATAAATAAAAGAAATTATATTATTCTCTTTGATAAATAGAAGAACATTTTTTTCTTTATTAAACAATCATTAATAATAAGTTGTTACTTTATATTTAAAATGTTGCATAATTTAAAAAAAAATTATAAAAAAGCGAATTTAAGAAAATATTAGTTCTAGGCATATTTCATTTTGTTTAAAATTTTTGCATTAAAAAATATTTACCTTTTGATATACGTACTGGGGGGGGGGGCTTTTTTTACCAATTACTCTTTGTTTCATGCAAATTTTGATATTAAAATTGAGCAAAATATATGTTTTCTATTTAAAACTGCCTTTTTTTCAAAAACGATCCTATTTATAAAATACTACGGTATGCCTTTCTTTGTTAAGTTTTTTTTGTAATTGTCTCTCTGTTCATTGGTCCAGTTAAATTTTTCTTAGCATTTTTTTTGGAAATGTTATTAAAACAACTAAAGAGTCGTGGCTAAATTGTTGCAACTAAATACTATATGCGTGGTAAGGTATTGAGTGCGATCGCACCCACTTCCCGACCAAGACTGACGTGGTGTTGATTCTCCCGTAAGTTACTTTACATATGCATGTTTTGTGCTCTGTCTGAACTACTGGTGCAGTGTTTACTCACTCGTAAGTTACTTTATGTATGTATGTGTTCTGTTTAAATGTATGTTTTGTTTAAATGTTTAAATCTGTTTTAATGCAGTGTGAGCTCATTAACTAACTAGACACTCCAACTACACTGAAACCTACTCTCTCCTTATCTCTAGTTTTTTGTTAGATAAAGAATTTATCTTTATCTATTTATTAAATATCATGCCTGATGTTTTAAGATACTGTTTTTGGAAAGTAGCTAAAGTGATATCTTGATTAAACTCTTCTACAGCTTGTGGGCAAGACAACATTCCTATCATAGTCTTAAAAAATTGTTCACCATAACTCTCTTCAATCCTCTCAAAACTTTTTATTAAATGCTTAACTTAATCTTGTTTTCCTGCCTGCTGGAAAATGACATCTGCTTTTCTAATTTTCAAAAACTCTGGTGAACATTCTGATCCTTCCAATTATTGTTTGATCAGTCTTTTTTCTGTTATTAGCAAGGTCTTTGATAAATAAATTTCTCACATCCTATCTTGAGCAACCCTCGGAATTAGGGTCGGCATTAGGCAATTCCCAACTTCATTTCTATGTTTTGTCCTATTTTGTTTGAATCTGATCTCACTCCTGTTACAGATTGGGGCTCATTGTGGCATGTAAATTTTAACTCCAGCAAAAACCAGTTACTTAACGCAAACAACTATTGTAGTACTGTAGACATTCTGATATTAATGAAAGGACAACACTCTCACTGAGTCCTCTTCTTTACGTCCAGACAGCACCTTTATTGTCTAGACAAGATTCCTGTCATAGTCTTACAAAATTGTTCTCAAAAACTCCCTTCAATTCTCTCTAAACTATTTAACCCCCTTCATTTTGAGGGGGTTGGAAAATTTACTATATTAGTGCCCTCACGTTTGGGCAGGGGGTGCAAATGTTTTGGGGCTTTTTTGTTCCCAGGGCTCCGCCGTCCCAATTTTTTGCAAGGTTTTCTCATTTGGCATAGGTATGAACATATTTATGTTTGGAGTTGGCACAATGTGCGGAAGTGTCCTATCTAAAATTCAAAAAATCCTGCAGGCGCACATCGTACTGTCCCGTCTGCTTTGTTACCACACCATATAAATTTATATTAATCATAGATGAGTTTTTTACGGAAATTACTGGAATTCCGGAAATTCACTTAAAACACCTTTAATTTTTCCAGAAATTTGCGATGTTTTTTGATATTAATTAAAAAAAAAATTAATATATTGTTACATAAAATTTTACATAAGACAACTTTTGCATTTAAACAAATATGTTTTCTATAATTAAATTTTCACGAGATCAATTATTATTAACCCAAGTTTATGGGTTTTAGGCCACCGTCACCCCCACCCCTTACCCCAAATATTTTTTTAAAAATTTTTTTATCCAGTATTACTTTATTATTACTACAGTATTAAAAAAATTTTTAATCCAGTATTATTTTATAGAACTTATATATAGGGGGTGTGAACAGACAAAAAAACTTGTTTTTTGTGACAGATACATTTTTAATAAATACATTGTCATTACTTTTCAATCAAATTTAAAAACTTTCTTGTAAAGTTTTCAAATTTTACTGTTTTTAAAACATTGTAGGTAATAAACATGCTTTGCTGTAGTGATCATTTTCAACTTTAGTAACACATATTAATGAAATGTGGTACTACATTTGATATTTGAAAGTAATAATTTATTTATATCTATTTAGATACCCACCTGATGATCTGCCTCAACAAACTAACAAAAAAATTAATAAAGGTCAGATTTTATTTTTAGGTTTTAGAATTTTAAGAAAATTGTAAAAAAAAGTGAAAAAATTGTAAAGATAAAAAAAAATTAAAAATTAAGATAAAAATTAGTACAAAAAAGTTACAACCTAAAAGTGAAAATTTAATTCAATCATCAGTTAAACCTTTTTGAATTAATGAATAGGTATTAAAAAAAATGAATTTATATTGTTTTTATAATTTTTCAGTATTATATACTACACTACTTTTAATTTTTATATAATTTTGCTTCATTTGAGGCAACAAGTTTTTTTTTTTAAACATCTTCACTTGTAACTAGGCTGCAAACAACCACTATTTTGAGACAGCAAGACTTTTTTTTTAAACATCTTCACTTGTAACTAGGCTACAAACAACCACTATTAAATTTGAAAGGTATTGGAAGAGAAAAGATGAAGTTAACAAAATAACAAGATAACAATCAACAGATGACTTGAAAGATTGCAAATTATATGAATAAGGTAAGCAAGACGGAGGGAGTGAATTCCTATGAACTAATGTTCAGGGAAAAAAACTAGACAAAAAAGAATTTTTAGAGTACTTAGGAACAGTCACAGTAAAAGTACGAAACTTAATTGAATGACGAGTAACACAAGAATGCATTTTAGTAGGTGGCGCAAGAGACGCTAGCTCTTTAGAGCAGCGCCCATCATAGTATTTATAGAAAATAGATGAAAAAGCAACATTATGATGATGTGACAATGGTTGAAGGTTGGCTACAAGAGCAGGTCCAACTATGTTTACAAATCATTTTTGCACTTTGTCTAAAAGAGAAAGTGCATCATTGGACGATTCTCCCCAGATATGGCAACAGTATTCCATACAAGGACAGATTTAAGATTTATAGAAATAAGAAATAGAAGACAAATGGTAGATGACTCATTGAGTACATTATCGTTCATAAATATTGCAAGATCTAGATTACTGCTATAACAATTGGCTAAAAAAAATTGATTTTTTCAATTTTTTTTTCAGCGTGGGGTTCATAATGTCTGGTGAGTTAAAGAACACCAGCCATTGAGAACCCCACGCTGTAGCAGAAGTGAGATCCTTTTCAAGCTTAAGTTACCCCTCCAAGCAATCATAGAGGGTTGGCTTCTTATCAAGACAAGAATAAATAGTATCATTAGGGAGCAATTCTATCTAGATGTGGGAATTTCTGTCGATCAATAATGTAAATTAAAAAATATATAGGGAAAAGAATAACCCATTAAGGAACCCCTGAAGTTACAGGAAATAATGGAGACTGCTACCCATCAAGGACTACTTTTAGGCTATGATAGGTAAGTAAGGATTCAACAATATTAAAGATGATTACAATATATATATATATATATATATATATATATATATATATATATATATATATATATATATATATATATATATATATATATATATATATATATATATATATATATATATATATATATATATATATATCAAGCCTTGTTTTAAAGCGTTACACCTAGAGCAATTTATGTACGTTTTTAGCGATTTTTACGTACACGTAGATTTCGGTTAAGCTACTTTTTATCATTTATTACCTTTTAAATTAGCGGTAACATGAAAGAAGTAATTAATTTTTAAAAATACCGCATTATCTTTTGAATATGTAAAAATATTTGTTACAAAAAAGAAGTAATATTTAAAATAATTTTAAATAATGTTACGTTAACAATAGTTAAAAATAAAAATATCTTTTCATCACAATATATCTTACCTTTTTATAGCAATTAATTTTACGTTTAACTTTTTATCTAAACATTTAGCAACATGAAAAATTGTTCGTCAATCCTTAACTACACATTTTTTGCAAATGTTTTTAATAAAAAGTAGTAATTTTTTTAAAGTTTTCAGTAAAAAACTTTTAAAAAATGTATATTCCAAGTTTATAAATACAGAATATAAATGTTTTCTGTAATATAGATTTTTTTTAGAGTTTTTTACTGAATTTTATTAAAAACGTTTGCCAAAAATTTGTAGATAAGGTTGACATTTTTTGTAATATCTCAAAAAAATGTCTTAATATTTTTGTTATCATGATAACAAAAATATCAAGACATTTTTTCGAGATATTACAAAAAATGTGCCAATGAATGAACAATTTATTTGTATTGTACTAAAAACTACTTCTTCATTAATTATTACTCTTTTCTAAAGGTATATAGATACCTTTGTTAAAGGTATATAGATACCTTTACCTTTAAGTTATGCGGGAGGAGGGGGCTGACACAGAAGGAAAAAAAAAACCTGTTACTTGCAATTTTTGAATGACGACAATTTGTTAAATTTCTTTTGCGTGCGATTTAATAAGTCTTTTCTTTTTCATAAATCAAGTTATATTATAAGGTAAAGAAATCACAAGTAGACTATAACATCTGCTGATGACGCTAAGGTTTTAGGTTAAGACACATTTTAGTTTAATGACACTCTCTATTTTTGTACTAATGACAGCTGCCCTAGAGTTTATAAATGACACAAGTCATGTTAAAATATTTTAACATGTTAGTATATTTTAGCTTGGTATATAAATAAAAATAAAAATATTGTTCAATAAATAAATAAATTTGTTCTTAACAAAGATTACCTCATATTTATTCAAATTGTTAAATACAATTATATTATTTTGGTTGAGTATTTTTTTAAGTTTGCACGATTAAAGTATTGCGCAGAAGTATTTAAAAAGTTTTTTGTTTTAAGAATAATTAACAAAAGAGTTTGCATAATTAAGACATTTTTGTTTTAAGAATAATTAACAAAAGACTTTGCATAATTAAGACTGCTTAATTTAATTTTTTTTTTAATTTTGTAAAATTCGAAAAAAAAACAAAAAAAATTTCATCGATAAAAAACTATTTTTTTTCTATATATCTGTGTTTCTTTGTGATTTGTTTAAAATGTAAAACATTTTTAAAATAACGTAAAAAATTTATGAATTAAATTCCTGGCGAACGCGTTCTAAGCTATCTAAAATGTGCTAAAAGCAGACATGAAACTTTTTTATATATTATTATACAACGTAAGTTGAGCAACATAAATTTAAAAAATACTTAAAAATCTAATCGCTGCTTAAATAATTAACACTGAAAAACAGCATTATAATAGTACTTTAAGTTTGGTGCCTTTCGGCAATCATCAGCTATTAATTACCTAATAATAGCTGATGATTGCCAAAAGGCACGAAACTTTATGTACTATTACTTTATGTACTATAATGTTGTTTTTCATTTAAATAATATATAACGCACATATTAAGAAGACCAGCTTGGCAAACTTTATCAAAGGCTTTAATATTCTGAGAGCAATAGCCTTAACTTTTCCACATCTATCTAATGCATAATAAAACCTATCAGTTATTAGTGTTAACAAATTAGCAGAAGGACGAGAAGATCAAAATCCATATTGCTGTTCAGAAAGTTAATACATTCAAAATGAGAGATTGTTTGTTGATTAAAGACTCAAAAACCTTACTTTTGAAAGGAAGGAGACTAATGGGATGGTAGTTAGAAAAGTCAAATCGCTCTCTTTTGATAGGAAGGAAACTAATGGGATGGTAGTTAGAAAAGTCAAATCCAATTTCTAGAAGACTGGAAAATGAGACTTAGATATTTGTTTGTTAAATAGTTTTAAAAGTATAGGTGACAGCTCCAGAAAACACTTCTGCAGACTTCAACAGGTATGTTGTCCAGACTACAAGCTGTAAAAGAGTCGAAGCAGGAAATCACTTCAATACAGATGCTCGGCTAGGTATGAATGTCATGCAACTGATCAACCTGTTTGTTGGCTATGTCAGGTAGGATGTGATTAGAGAAATCATGAGATGAGGTTGATGAGAAGTTCTTAGCAAACTATTTAGCTTTGTCTTAAGGTAAACTAACAAAATCTAAACCATACAAGAGAGGAGGAATAACAGGATTGCCCTTATTATAGACATTGTTAAAGATTGTCTAGAAGTCTCTGGATCCTAATTTTTGAGATAAAATATATGATTTTGTGACCTGAGAATATTGGGCTTTGGCATTTAACAAAACCTTTATACAATAGTGTCTAGCAATAGTAAACATATTGTTTTTTGGAGAATTGTTTTGGCGATAGATTAGGGAGTAATGGTTATGATCATAAATCGCAATGAGAGCACAATGACAGCACAACGAGAGGAAATCCATCGAGAAGAGTGAGACTTTACTTGGAATTGTCAAGAGGGAATAAAAGATTCCATGCCAGTCCGAATCCAAGAAATTACATAAAAAGCACATTTGTCAACAGGAAGGCAAAAAGAGTCTAGTCAGCTTAGATAGTTGTTAGGGGTACAATGACTAGTGAATTCTGATAATGAAGAAGAATGAGATTAGATAAATTAAATGAGATTTAAATAACAGATAGATTAAACGGTGATCAGCAGCTTCTAAAGGTGAATATGTAGAAACTGAGCACTGACTAGGATCAGAAACAAGGCATAGTCAAGTAGAGAAGGTAAATGATTTGAATTGTCTGAAAAGCATGTATGAAAGTTGACTATTTGTGTTAGAGATTAAGAAAGTCAAAAGTTGAGGACCTTAAGGCTTGTAGAGTCACTGACACTAGCCAAGCCATTCAGTGTGATGAGCATTAAAGTCACCAACATAATTGATATTATGAAGGATAAAGAAAACGGGCTTGGTCAATTTGATCAGAAATTGGTTTTTCGCAATTTTGCTGTTTATTCGATATGTTTATGGAATATGCTGTTTATTTTTCCTGTTTATTCGATATTTTTACTGGTTATTCGCTATTTTACGCTGTTATTTGAGATTTATTGGTTTTTCGCAATTTTGCTGTTTATTGAAGATTTTTATGAATTATGCTCTTTATGTGAGATTTTTGTTGGTTATTCTCAGTTTTCCTGTTTATTCGATATTTTTACTAGTTATTCGCAATTTTACGAGATTTAGTATTGGAGAAATTTGGCTGTTGTTTGACAATGCTGTACATTTTGATACTGAATCTGAGTCCGAGGGCGGACTTTTCCTTTCCCCGTAGGTAATGTTACGAAGCTAACAATCTTAGTCAAGCGTGCAATTATTGTGAAGGTAGCAACGATACTCACTCAAGCGTACAGTTAGAAAGAAACAATACATGATCAAGCAGGAGATAAATTACAGAAGCATGAAAACATGAGTAGAGACCATTGAACTGAGACGTGTCTTATGGTTTCGAAAACAATATAAAAAGGGTATACAAAGTAAGATAAAGAGAGAAAATATATGAGGAGTATGGAGGAAATATATGTAATATAATAGTATGTAGTATAGTGAGAGGTATATATGAGAAGGAGGATTAGTTGTATCAATATGTAACATTTGAATTAGATTATAATTTTATAACGCTTTGTATCAGTGGTTATTATTCTACGCCTTTGTTGTTCCAATCTTTGTTGGAGTTGGGCAATTACCTATCGTTTAATCAGGAAGCATTTCATAACAGGCGTTACCCGATGCATAACAATATTAGGCGAACTCTTTAATAATAAAATTGATTATAAAATTGTACTCAAACATAATTATAAAATGCACAAGTTTTCTGAATAAAATAAAATTTATTATAAAATTCTTTGTTAATTCATATATAATGCTTTTTGTTTAAAACAATTATTAAAATTTGTTACTTTATTTAAAGCGTTTAGGGTAGTATAAAAATATTTAAGAAAGTTCACAAAACAACAAAAAAAAAAAATGTTTTATTAACAATAGACCTTATTAACTTTTGTGAATTTTTAAAAAAAGTTTAAAACTTATCGTTATCGTCGTTGTTTATAAAATTAATTAAATTGTTTTAAAACAATTACATTCATTATAAAAAAATATAGTTTTGAAATAAAAACTTTATTTAATATTATTTAATAATTTATTTAACAGCATTTTAAAACTTTATTTAAATACGTTTAGCTAAGTGTAAAAACAAATCATTAGAAAGTTTACAAAGCATCATGAAAAATTACTTTGTTACTTACTAAATTAATTATGTTATTTTAACTATTTTGAAACAATTTTTATTCATATATTTTGATTTAGGATGGCTATGTTAGAGTGGAAACATTATAAATTAATAAAATAAATGATTTTAACAATTTTCAAAAATGTCTTTTTGTTCATAAGAATATTGTAATTATATATATATATATATATATATATATATATATATATATATATATATATATATATATATATATGTATATATATATGTATATATATATATATATGTATATATATATATATATATATATATATATATATATATATATATATATATATATATATATATATATATATATATATATATATATATATATATATATATATATATATGTATATATATATGTATATATATATATATATATATATATATATATATATATATATATATATATATATATATATATATATATATATATATATATATATATATATATATATATATATATACTCTCTTAAAAAGAAGCTCTTACAAAGAACATTGTTTCGTTAATTTAAACAGTTTTTGTATAATATAGCGGTTTTGTTTTTTATAACCGTTTTTATATACTTGATACCCTCGTGTATCCATATTCCCTCGAAATATCGTAAAAATAAATTTAATTTTTGCAAATAGAAATCAATCCATAACAAAAAGTTTTATTTTAAAATATTTATACAAATAAAATCTATTGAAGATGTCAACATTTAATATATATATATATATATATATATATATATATATATATATATATATATATATATATATATATATATATATATATATATATATATATATATATATATATATATATATAAATTTTGTTTAAATGAAAAAATTATACTAATCATATTTATTATTTTGTGCATTACAGCATGCATTGCAGCTATTAAATACAAATCAAAAATTTAAAAACCGTTAAGGAATAAAAATAAAACTTAGGAAACTGTGTGTGTCTGTGTTAATGTCGTAATAGTTTGAAAAAGATAGTGGTTTTTAAAAATGCTCTACTCTAAATGCTATATTCTAGCTAAAAATATTTGATGACTGCTATTTCAGCATAATTCAGTTCATTATCACATTTACTGTTTATTAAAAATTAATTATTGATCAAGTGTCATGTTGAGGTAGTTAATATATACTATTTTATATATACTAGTTTATATATACTATTTTTATATTGCATTGGGTAAAATTAATTATTGATCAAGTGTCATGTTGAGGTAGTTAATATATACTATTTTATATATACTAGTTTATATATACTATTTTTATATTGCATTGGGTAAAAATAAGATCATTACTTATATGTATTATTACATTACAATAAGTGTTTTGATTTTCTTTATTTGCTGTTTTTGTTTTCAAATCTATCTTGTCATTACAATATAGACTAAAATATTCTCTATTATAATGCTGTGTAAGTTTAAACAAAAAAAAACTCCTGCTAGCTCACATTTTTGTTAAAAACTAAAGATTTTCTTGCATATCTTACCAATGTTTTGCACAGTTTTTGGTTATGTTACTCAGCAAAAATTTCACTATTGTCCATTTTTTCACTCATAGAAAGATAAAAGTCATTGATGTCAGGAACTAAAAATTTGTAAATATGCTTGTCTTTAAATTTCATAAAGCAGTAAGTAATATTATGCATTACTATTGATTAACAAATAGTTTATTTTTAAGTTCATTGTTTGATAAGTTTATTAGAATTTTAGAAAAAATAACTTTGCTTATATTTTGCTTTTTTTGCTGGATACACAATTTAAACTCTAGGGTTATTAGCAAAGTTTTTATGATCTTTTAATGTGAAAAAACATCCAGAAGATTCGTTTCTTTTGAATTTATTTCAAATGTTGTATGTAACTCAGCAACTAAAACTTGCAAGCTTTCATAAAAACCTTGATAAAAGCCTTCATAAAATATTTGAAATCTTATATAATAATAGAAGCAATTTGCTTAATATAATGAAAATGTGTCAACATTCAAATAAAGTTCTCCTTTCCTCTTTTGACACCTGATTATGTTTTTTCATAATTGCTAGAAGTTAACGAAATTAAAAAAGCAAATTTTTGTTTACTCTAACGATTTTTTTACATACCAAATGATTTTTTTTCTAACGGTTTTTTTATTATTATTTTTTATTTGTATTTAATAGCTGTAATAATTGCCGTAAAGCATGGAGCTTAAAGTATTAATTTTTTTCACTTAAACAAAATAATAATGGTGGTAGTGGTAATGGTGGTAGTGGTAATGATGATGATGATGATGATGATGATGATGATGATGATGATGATGATGATGATGATGATGATGATGATGATGAATTATTTTTATATAGATATATCAGAGATAAGCACAGCACTGAAAAATTATTATCTCGTAAATTATGGAAAAATAAATGAAATTCAACCGCCATTAAAAGCACCTGCAAATGTTGATCTAATACATAAATTTGTTGATCTATGTATCGTTGATTCAGTTGATATTCAAATGGATACTGTTTATAGTGTTGAGCGTAAGGAGTTTCTCGAAAAGCAAATGAGTTATACACCAATTCCATATGGTGAAGTATTTATAAAAGAAAAATCTGTTATATTAATATCTGGAATAGCTGGTATTGGAAAAACATGGTTGCTTAGAAAATGTTTGCTTGATTGGTCAAATGATTTAATTTGGAAAAAAGTTGAACTTGTTTTTTATTTGGAATGCAGGAGGCTAAATCAATATCAAAATATTTCTAATATTAATGAACTACTAAATGTTTTCTACAAAGATATTATGAACGGTTTTTATATTAATAATCATACTGCGCTGTTTATAATTGATGGATTAGACGAGTTTAAGTTTTTTAATGAGTTAATAAATCCAAATTTAAGTTGTAACTATCCGATTGTTAATGCTTTAGCAGAAATTCAAAATTACAATCATGTTGTAGCTGGTAGAGTTTATGCAATTGATCAATACCAATGTATATCAACAGAGCACAGGGATAAGCTTATCATTCAAGTAATGGGGTTTAATGAAAATGGAATAAATAACTATATAGAAAATAATGTAATGGAAGGGAAAAAAGAAGTAGTAAAAGCAACTTTAAAGGAATCTTCAATTGCAAAAGCCATGGCATCTGTTCCATTTTATTTATCATCCATGTGTAAAATTATTAGTGGTTCAAAGAAATTAAATAAAAAATTTTTCTTAACAATGACAGATTTGTATGCAAATATTTTTTTATATTTTTTGCAAAAACACATTATCAAAAACAATAAATTGATTTATGAGATAATGGAAGATGATTCCAATAAAAAATATGTTTTGAATATTTGTAAAATTGCATATGAGTTGTTTGTTGAAAATAAAGTAATTTTTTCCAAAGAAGAACTTCAAACTTTTATCAGTGACTTTGATCAAAATGAAGGTAATATTTTTGGATTTATAGAAAGGATTGAAACAAATCTGGGTTATTATTATCAATTTGCACACTTAACAATAATGGAGTTTTGTGCATCAGTATATGCATATAATTGTTTAAGTAGTGATGAGATAATGGCCAATAAAAAGCTGAAAAGTTGTTTATCAATGATTTGTGGATTAACCAATAAAAGCCAAAATAGTTTATTAAAATTTCTTGTTAACCTGAATCCTTCAAAAAAATCCCATAAAGAATCCTTACTTTTGTCTTCTGTTTTTGGTAAGTTTAAGAATTTTGTTCCATTATTATATATACTGTCGTTTTAGATAAACATACAGGTTTTCATTAAGATATAAAAATTACATAATTTCTTAATTTGTTTTATAAAGATAAAATAAATACATATATATATATATATACATATATATATATATATATAATATATATATATATATATATATATATATATATACATATATATTTATATATATACATATATACACATATATATATATATATATATATATATATAATATATATATATATATATATATATATACATATATACATATATATATATATATATATATATATATATATATATATATATATATATATATATATATATATATATATATATATATATATATATATACATTTATATATATATATATATATATATATATATATATATATATATATATATATATATATATAAATATATATAAATATATACACACTCACACACAGTGCTCGAAGTAAGGTGGGATGAGACAATTCGTGTATATATATATATTTATACACAAATTGCCTGAGTGATTGTGAAGTTATCAACTAGTAGGAAAATATACATATATATATATATATATATATATATATATATATATATATATATATATATATATATATATATATATATGTATACACACACAGTGCTCAATTTGTGTTCATATATATATATACAAATTACCTGAGTGATTGTGAAGTTATCAACTAGTAGGAAAATATCTTATGCTCTATATACATTGAAATAAAAACCCTGAAGGATTTTGTAACATACAACATTATACATTAGAGGTTATGAGTTAGTTAAGTCAAAAACTTTTCTTTCTAAACTATAAATAAAATGATGTCCAATATATTCCAACAAGTTTATGTTTGAATATATTTTATAATACAAAATAAATAGATGAATGGCAAGCTCTGGTGTGATGTGAGCAAGATAATGTCCAGTTGACTCCCAAGTTACACTTATATGCTCCTCCTTTATGACTTAAGTGTATTTTTTCCATATTTATCTGGAATTAATGTTTTGGTCCAGTCTTTTCTTCCATCATATGCAATTCCAATAATATTTTTGTTACTACATTTATTAGCTTCAATATTTGTATTTTCTTTAATTACATTCTTAGCTTTTTGCATTTTGTTTGGCTCAACAGAAAGGCATGATATATCAGGACAAAAATAATCTGTAGCTATAAAATCTTTTATTATACTAGTGACAATAGCTGCGGCACCAACATTAAAAATATTATATCTTGTTGCGGCTGGTGCCGCATATGTTATGGTCATTTTTTTTACCTTTAGACTTGGTTCTTCTAAGTATCTTGTAACTAGTGATGCCAATCTTCCAAGTTTTTCTTCAAGCAACTTGTCGACTAAAGTTTTTGCTTTGTTCTTTAGTCGTGCAGTATTTATATTGTGATTATCATCATTGTCATTTTCTTCCAGCAGATCAAAAACTAGTTCAGGATTCTAAATTGTTTAAAAATGAAGTTTCTACAATATATATTATTACTTACCAATATTACCATTTCCAGGATTTTATCTTCTATAATATATTTTATTTCTATTGTAGATTTTTTTTCTATAATAAATGTTATTACTTACCAATATTACCATATCCGGGATTTTATTGTCTAATTTCAAACGGTTTCGAAGATGTAACCCTTTGAACTTTGCCTTGTGCCAACAAAGGTTTTCAAAAATGGTTTTAGCCATTGTTTCTGATTTGTATGCAATAAAAGCTGAGGGTGTGTGCACTTGTTTTGAGGCAAATAATCTAATAAAACAAACTTATCATATCAGGTTCTCCTGCTAATGGTAACATGTAACCCAGTACAGCCTGCCTCATGTCCTGCTGCCTTGTGGGATACGCTTTTTAAGGCAAAGGCTAGGAGAAGTCAACTCCAACACCCCCTTCCTTGGGGGTCTTGATTGAGTAAAGGCAAGAGATAGTGTCTCGATAAAAATACTGATCTTTTGCAGATGTTAAACGCATCCGGCTACTGTCTTGTAGAAGGCCTTCTAGGCAAAAACTTAAGGGGTAAACAGATTCTATCTGTTGACTAGCCTTACACACCTTCTCCATCTATTAAGCTGGCACAGATGTATTTTTAATACATTTTTTCCAGTTTATGATGTTGAACGCTGGATCTCATTCTATTATCTCCTAATTAGGGTACAGCTCAGCAAAACACTTCTTGAGAAAACAGACCTCTCTTTACTATTACTAGAAACCATTATAAAAAGGTTTTGTCTGGTGTCAATACTCACTATTCTTAGGTCATAAGATCTTCTATTTCATCACAAAAAGGCTCTTGTAAATCTGGAGAATCTTTAACAGTATCGCTAAAAGGGCAAATCTGTTATTCTACCTCTCTTGTATGGTTTAGACTTTGTCACCTCACCTAAAGATCAAACTGAATTGTTTGCTAAAAACTTTTCATCGACATCATCTCTTGATTCTGCTAGTTGCCTTCTACCTGAGTTTGTCTTCAAACAGGTTAATTGATTGCTTGATATTCATATCACTCCAGCTTCTGTATCTAAAGTGATTTCCTGCTTAGACTCTTCTACAGCTTGTAGTCTGAACAACATACCAGTTATAGTCTTGCAGAAGTGTTCTCTGGGGCTGTTTTCTATACTTTTAAAACTATTTAACTTATGCTTATCAGACTCTTGTTTTCCAGCATGCTGGAAAGTGGCATTTGTTAACCCTATTTTCAAAAATTCTGGGGAGCGATCTGATTCGTTTAACTACCTTCCCAATTATCTTCTTCCTATCATAAGCAAGGTTTTTGAATTTTTAATTAATAAACACTTAATCTCCTATCTTGAATGTATTAATCAGCTGTAGAACTCTCATTCTACTGCTGATTTGCTAACAGTAATAACCGATAGGTTTTATCTTGCATTAGAAGTGGAAAGGTTAAGGCTATTGTACTTGACACTTCTAAATCTTTTGATAATGTTTGGCATACTGGTCTTCTCCATAAGCTTTCTTCTTATGGTGTATCTGGTATCGTCTTTAAAATTATTGAATCCTTCGCTTCCAATTGTTGTATAAAAGTTGTCCTCAACAGACATCACTCTTCTTCACATCCTGTAAGCTCAGGGCTTTCTTAAGGTTCAATCCTTGGCCTATACTATTTTTAATTTACATTAACAATCTTCCAGATATTCTTACATCTATGGTGGCATTGCTCACTGACGATACTACCATTTATTCTTATCATGAGAAGAAGCCAACACTCTCTGATTGGTTGGAGGGGGGCATATGAGCTTGAAAAGAATATTACTTCTGCTACAGTATGTGACTCACAGTGGTTGGTGAACTTTAATTCAGACAAAACCCACTTTTTTTTCAGCCAATCGTTATTGCAACAATTTTGATCTTTCTTTATTTATGAGCGGTAATGTACTAGATGAGTCATCTACCCTTCATCTTCTAGGATAACTCTTACTTCTGATCTTTCTTTGAAAGGGTATATCAAGTCCATTGCAAAATCAACATTTGCTAAGGTTGCATTTCTTAATCTAGCTTCACACTTTCTTACTCCGGATTCTATTCTCTATCTCTATAAATCTTAAGTCCATCCCTGTATGGAATATTGTTGCCATATATAGGGCAGATCTTCTAATGGTGCCCTTTCTCTTTAGTACAAGGTGCAAAAATGCATTGTAAACATAGTTGGACCTGCTCTTGCAGCCAATTTCCAATTATTATCACATCATTGTAATGTTGCTTCTCTTTCTCTTTTCTACAAATCCTATAATGGGCAATGTTCTAAAGAGCTAGTGCCCCTTGTGTTATCTACTAACATTCGTTCTCGTGTTACTCGACATTTAATTAAGTCTCTTCCTTTTTCTGTGACTGTTCCTAAGTTCTCCTAAAACTCTTAATCATCTAGTTTTTTTCCTCGAACATCAGTTCTTTGGAATTCGCTTCCTACACCTTGTATCCCTGATTCTTATAATTTGAATCTTTTAAGTTGTATGTCAATCATTATCTTGCTCTACAAACTTCATCTTTTCTCTTCCTGTAACTTCCAACTCTGATAGTGGTTGCTTACAGCCTTGTTGGAAGCGAAGATGTAAAAAAAAAAAAAAAAAAATTATTGGTAAGTAAGAATATATATAATAGAATATATAAATTTTAAATTCAAAAAAGTTTATTATATATATATTAAACATTGAAAAGTTTGTTTTAAAGTCTATTTTAGATTGTGGTAAGAAATGTTTTAAAACAATTAAAGAATTCTAATCATTCATTGTACTTTAGCTAACCTGAAATTTATCAAAATCTTTTTTTCTTAAATTATTATTTTTTTTTTTTGCAAGAAATTTTTTTTTTGTGTATAAAATTTAAAAAGATTTTATCAGCCCAAACACAGTTAATATTTGCTCCTGTTTATTATACATGTTAATATTTTTATTATACATTTAACACGGTATTAAATATGTAAGTAATAGAAAAAATAAAAACAGGAATAATATTAGCAAAAAATGTATAGATGTACAAATAAATTATTCTAATAAAGCACTACTGTAAGAACCTTTGAGTTTAGTCTGTAACACAGAATATAGTTAATAGTCAAGACAGCCATTTATCCCATTATCCATTTAACTATTGCAAGCTTTAATACTGTTATGTTATTATTCCTTCCAGTATAATTAATTAAAAATTAAGCGACATTTCAATGTTGCTCAAGTTGAAACAGTATTTAAAATGCTAAAGTACATTAAGTTATATCATTTTTTTAAAAAATGCATTAACTATGACTAATGTTTAATTAAAGTTTTAATGTTTTTTTTTTTTTTTTTTTTTTTTATAACATTTTTAAAACATCAGGCTCGGACAAGAAAGGCATAGGATTGCATGCTTTGCTTGACCACGCAAATAATAATAGTTTGTTGACACTTTAGCCACAGTTGCTTTAATGTTTCGACAAATAAAACATCTCAGAAATGCGGTGAAAAAAAAACTGTTCAAACTG